GTTAACTGATAGTGGATTATTTTTGCATGGATGGATGGATGGATGGATGGGTGGTTGGGTGGGTGGATGGATGGATGGATGGATGGATGGATGGATGAATGATAGAATGGATGGATGATAGAACGGATGGATGGGTGGATGGATGAATGGATGGATGGATGGTACAATGTCGACGGATGGATAGAAGGATCCATACTTACTCATATTGAACCTTACTTTCTCATCTTCAGGAATATGCGAGGTTCCAGCTAGAATAACCTTTATTACACGAGATTGTTTCAGTCAGTATTCCATCAGTGATGAAGACCATGCAGAATACACCACATCATGGTTGAATGTCACCAAGTACTCCAAACCAGTCAATCGAAAGGATGTTAACTGGAGATATCAGACGTGGAACCAGCTGGACGGGTATCCGGTCTGGGCCGAGCTTAATACATATGCCGGCGGAGGGTACGCCTAGTAAAGAAGCTAGAATAAAATACACAACTGAAATGTTATGAAATACTTCTTAGGGCTTTCATTCTTCTTCCTACTTCCTTTATCGCTAACCTCCATCCTCATGGTCCCTTCTTTCTCAGCCATTTCAACCTATTCTATCCCATTCTTCTTACCCTCTCCTTCATCTTTCTTCTTCCTCCTCGTTATTCAAATACGTTGGATGATTCCTCACTTACCTTTCAAATAACCTTCATCCTATCCCTCGTTTTCCTTCTTTCCTTCATCCCCTCTCCTTCGCCTTTACCACATCTCATCGCTCTCTTCCCTTCTTCCTCTTCTCTGCTCTCCACTCCTTCCATCCTCTTCCCCCTCCGCCTTTAACCTCATTCCATTCATCTTCTCTCTCCCCTTTCTTGTCCTCTCCTCTCTCTCCTTCTACTTCCATCCCCTCGCCTCCGTCTTTATTCTCGATCCCCTCCCATCATTTCCCTCCCTCCACCTTTCCATCCTCCATGCCATCCATGCCATGAGTCATTCCAACTCTAGTACACACAACATGTTAGTTAAGAGCAATCGATATTAACGTAAAACTTACTTTCATTTTCCTGCAGTTACGTGCACGTTCTTGAGCCAGGAATGAAGAACTCTGAAAAACTAAAGAAACTCGAAAAGGAATTTTGGATAGACCGCCATTCCCGGGCAGTCATCACAGAATTCACCGTCTACAACGCTCAAACTAACCTCTTCACCATAGCAACACTAGTGGCCGAGTTCCCTGCCACTGGAGGCGTAATCCCATTCGTCACCATCCAAACAGCCCGCCTCTACAATTACACCAAAGATTACATGTTTTTCATTTTGGCTTGCGAGTGTCTGTTTGTTTTGTACATTCTCTTCTTCTTGTACCAAGAGTTGAGAAAAATGCACAAAGAAGGAAGCGCACACTTTAAGCAGTTCTGGAACATCGTGGACATCGTAATCCTCAGCTCTGCTGGCTTTGGCATTGGGTTGTACATCTATCGGTTGTTAACGTACAAGGATGTGTTGGAGAAGAGCCGTAACGCGCCCTTCCAATTCAAAAGCTTCCAGCTAGCGGGATACTGGGATGAGATGTACACGTTGTCTATCGCGATCCTGGTGACATTCTCAACTATCAAGCTCAACAAGTTACTCAGGTTTAACAAACGCATGTCCTTGTTGTCGTCAACCCTGAAGCACGCAGCTTTTCCTCTGATGATGTTTGGTCTCATTTTTGGTATCCTCTTCTTGGCTTTTACTCTTATTGGCACCGTAGTTTTTGGGACAGCAGTAAGAGGGTATCGAAAGGCAGGCTCAGCTTTCACATCATTATTGAGCTTGATGTTGGGGAAGACGTCGTTTCTTGAGATGAACGAAACCAACAGAATTCTCGGGCCCGTATATTTCTTCTGCTTCATGTTCCTCGTGTCCATGGTTCTCATCAACATGTTTTTGTCTATTATTATTGATTCCTACCACGAAGTCAAGAGAGATTTAGAAAAACAAGACAATGAATACGAAATCGTGGACTTTATCATCGAGAGATTCAAGATGTGGTCTGGTATCGGAAAGGCTGACAAACCCGAATTCAAACACCGCCATGTTAGATGGGACGTGGTAGAGTCCAAGGTCAAGTCATTGAATGCTCTAACTGGGGGTGGTATTGACCACGTGTCAAAGCTGGAGAGCCGAATAGAGAAGCTGATTCAGCGAACAGACCTTCTCTACACTGAAATATTTCCTGAGAAGCGGAGACGACCCACCAAAGCCATGCGCCATAAACACAGACTATAATCCTATTGGTTTAATAAGGGCCTAAGTTCTTAGAACTTCACAAGCTAAAACCTGCTGATTTTTAACTAGAGCCACAATAAACATTTCTATTAGTAAGTTATAATCTTATACTCCACTAAACTTTACCTTTCGATGTGTTTTGAAGTATTTTTCGATGGTAGTCTGAAACACTAGCAAAGCGTCTCACTCAAGGAGCAGCCATCTTGAAAAGCAACCACGCCTCATTACGGCTAGACCTCAAATCGAGGCTTCGTGATTGCTTTACTAAAGATGTCATAACATTATAATTACGATCGATGAAAGACAAAGAAGATACGATAGTTATTTTCTTTATCATTTTTTCAAAAATCATTGGGGAAAATGTTACCCTAAATCACCAAGCCCATCGCTTTGAATAATAAGTCAGCCTGATAGTCATAATTATATACCTTAGATTTCTGAAACAAACTTTATTTGTGTTATTGCCAAGCGAAAAGAAAATTCAACTTGTCGCCAGCATTAGCCATGCATAGTTTTTGTACATAACCCTATATTTTTTATTTCAATCGTTTTCCCCCCATGACGTATTGTTATTCCGTAAGAAAAAACAGGAGAAAAAAAGTTTTCCAGTTTATAATACTGCTAGGTTACAAAGGATATTATATCTATTAATCAGCTACATGTATTCAGAATGTTTTAAATTCAGTACTGCCCTGGTGGTAGTATGTTAAATGCGTTTAATTATAATCATAAACCAATCATAAAACATTGATGTTACTCATAAAGGTTTGTTACGTTCATGTTTTGAGCAACTCCAGATTCAGGACTTAATTTGGCTTCCATGCATCTGTCAAAGTCAAGTCTTATTACCGTTTTGATCGACGGAAAACAAGAAAGCCCTGAAAGTTATCGAGGTCGAAAGAACATATTAAATTGACTTTTAACCATATATAATTATGTTAACTTGCTAATAATAACTTACCTAGTGCACAGGGAAGACCGTCATTGAAGACACGAAATCCTGAAGTTATTTTCTTTGCCCTCGTAGTTTTTGCAAATCTTGAAGTCACCAATGTTAACAAGAATTATATTAATAGGAATTTAGGTCTTGCATTTCAGTCACTGTGTGCACAGAAACTAGAGGCCTGTGTGTCATAAGAATTACTGTATACGTACTTACGTAACTTGTGGGGCCATTGACATCAACCAATCAATCGTGCAGAAAGAAGGAAAGCCATCTTTGGTCCAATCACATCGCTTGCTGCAACAGCCCGCGTCAGGACTATGAATTCGCTTCACTTCGTAGTGTTGATAGCCTGCTATAATGAGGGAGAGGGATTCCAAAGACTATGCTTCAAGAGAGGTTATTAAGGTTGCCCCAAACCTCGAAGCCAATCATAACAAATTTTTTTAAGTGTTCCAAAAGGGTGTAACTCTTTCTTTCTAGGTAGCAAAAGGTGTGAATGGATTTATTACGGTATAAACTTTGAAGGGGTATTAGTCTTAGTATAACAAAATTAATCAATAGAGAGACGAATCATTTTGTGACGTAAATACATATCGGTCAATTCTTCGATTGCACGTTACGTCATCGCGGCCATGTTGGTGCCATTTAACAAAAGATTTCTCATTAGCATCCATAGTTAACAGCACCACAATGGCCGCCATGTTTTTGTCTTGAATCTCTTGGGAATGCTTGCAACCCATCAATAGTGATCGAAGAATGTAGGAGGTAAATTAATTTTGCTATTAAAGGACATAACATAAAGATCGATCACTTGCCTTGTTAAGTGGAAGTCCTTGGAACTGATCTAATGTGAGTTTTTGGGTTGGACAGATCATGCTTGTGAAAAACACACTCCCTCTACTTCAATCTACGAGAAACCTTTTTATGACCCCATTACATCTTTCATACCTATCCGGATATTTTGCCGGAATAAACCACTGCAATACATGTGAATACACCACTTGAAAACGCAAATTTTCAAAACGGATACGTGTTTTTTATCGAAGTTCTCCTGAGCTTATATCTTCTACCCTCAATCAGAGGAGCCCTTTTCCATTGGGAATCAAGGGTGGTTTAGCAGTAGTGCACTCACCTCTCCCCTCCAGGTCTCGGTTTCGATTCACGGACTCAGCGTCACTCGAGTAGAGTTTGTTAGGGTTCTATCTTGATTCGAGGATTTGGCTCAATCCGAAAAACCTATAAGATGCTTAATTCCAATTTCTTCTGTGGGTTAGAAATGTCCCGACTTGGATCATCCCAGAGGATGTTAGAGAGTATCGTTAAAATTTGGAGGTTCCATCACTCTGGCACCCTGTCGTTTTCCCCATAAAGGTATATCCATCCTCCCGAAGTTCACACAATGAGCTGACACACAACTCTCTGCTTTGAAATTTTAATTCATGATAGAACACTTAGTACACCACACAGGCCAACCCATGTTGCAGGGAGGCCAGATAAATGAAATAAACACGCATACACACACAGTTACACGTGAACACATACACAAAGAAACGATTTAAAACACACGAAAATAAAAGTCTTAGGAATGGATTGGAGTTCAGACGGATTCACCTCCGTTGAGTAACCCAGGAGGTAAAAAGGTGGTCATTGATGGGCTAACGAGTCCATTTTCACTTGTCCCTGATTGTGGATTTCCTTCATTGTTGTCACTAGTAGCAAACGACCATAAGCTGGGTACTTGCGAGTTGAAGCCTACGTTGGCACCGGGTAGGGGTGCACCCCACAGCTGCGATGAGACTTGGGCGTTGGCGGTGCCCGAGTTTCCCCACTGCATGTTTGGAGGTGGCCCATGAGTGAGAGATGGGACTGATGTTGTCTTACCCTCAGAAGGAGCTCCTTGGTCAGGCTGTGAAGCAGGCCTTTGTAATCCTGGTGCCGAGGGGGCTTCTCTTGTTCCTAAGCCTGGCATATTTTGGAAAGACCAATGGTTCCCATAGGTTGAATTCAAAGGAAATGGGTTATTACTCCAGTCTACTGGCTGCTCAAAGAAGCCTGCTATGTCGCTGTCTGTGGCGAAGTCAGCCGTTACTTGCCCTCCTTGTAGGACCATACCATTGACGAGACTGCGTGCACTCGCTGCTTGTTCTTTACTGCCATATCGAATCAGACTGTTACCGTATCGCATGTTGTACTGGAAGGTTAGAAGTGGGCCGTGCTGTTGGCATACTGCACGAATAGCATTGATATCCGCCTGGAGAATAAAGTACAATCATATTCAATTAATGGTACGAACCAGTCCACGAGAAAAATAGCAAAAACAAACAAACAAACAAAAAAATCCCCAGCAGGGATGAATCAAGAGAACTCCTCAAAGGTGTTCAAAACGTCCCCCCCCCCGGCCCCTGGCTGTCTTTTCATGGTGCTCAAAAACTTTGGTCATCCCCCTGGCTCTCACACTCTGGTTTAGTCAAATATCTTTATCCCTGACCCTCTTAAACCAATGTGTATCTCCACCCCCAGTCAAAAACATTTGCCAACCATCTTGTACAATAATGCATGTAGTTGGTTCCCTAATTATCATCTGATCAGAAAATGTTGTTTTCAAGCATAGCGAGGGACGGCGTGAGAACAGAATCTAGCATCCAATGCTGTGAAAAGAGAGGAAAAAGTTGAAGTCTGGCTTACCCGAGGAGGGATGTTCCGTAAGACTAGCCAAGTTGATAAAGAGCCACTTCCACTCTTACCACCAGTACCACCAGTAATAACAGTACCAACAATACTAGCGGCATCGCTACGCACCAATGGCCCACTTTCAGACGTCACCATTGGCCGAGAAAGCTTTTCCTCTGAGCTTGGTATTGGCTGATTGACAGACCACGAGCTGATGCCTGTATTAGGTGCCTTGGAAATTTCAGCACTTGGGTTAGTACCACTGACAGGTCCAACTGTCGTTGCCATGGGAACTGCGGATGACGTAGCGATAGGGGATGGTCCCCCTGGAGCAGCCCAGGGCTTAGGATCAGGTGCTGTGAGGGGTTGTCCATCTTGTATGCTCCAAGCGGCTCCACTCATTGGGAATCCTAGGTGACCAAACTTAAAGTCATTTTGGGGTCCATTATGGCTGAAGCGTGGTGCTGGAGCGGTGTCAACGAGGTCACTGACCCAAGAATGTTCTTCCTCTAAGTTCGCAGTGTCAGCAGGAGTATTATGGTTGTTAAGACCAGGGGGAGGCCGTATGGATGATGCAGTGGGCTTGGCAAGTAGCGAGTCAGCCGAACCTGTAGACTGCCATGGTGATGACCCAATACCAAAGGATGGATACTGAGATGGGTTGGTCAATGAAGTTTCAGTAAAACTGCTTTGTCTGGAGGTCTGCTTTGCTGGACTGACAGGAGATGACATCGAAGACACACTTTCACTCTTGGGTGAGACTTCTTCTCCTTCCTTGCGTGGACGCCAAGGGACACCGGGTTTAAACTCCGGTGGATCAGCTGACAGCTTCGGTGCAGCATCCACACCCCATCTGCTAGACACAGACCCGTGGGTAATCCTGGGTGAGATGCTTGGATTTGGTTCAGACCTCAGGCCACAAGAACTCCACTGTCCCTGGGTATCATTACTTAAGGCAGTCTGATCAGGGTCGGGCAGAAGGGGCTGCTTCCACTGTGTTAAGCGAGACTGTGGTGCAGGTGAAGTCTGCTTCCCTCGTTCCTCTAGAGACACACTAGCAACAGGGCCAGTAACAGAGATGGCTTCTTTAGCTTGGGATACCTCTGTGGTTCCTACTTCAGAAGTCATAGGTGGTGCATCATTAGTCTTGTCCATGACTCCTGGTTTTCCACCAGTTTTCTGTGGTGCTTGCTGCTGTTGAGTGCCTGCCGTGGCAGGAGACTGCTGCACCTGACCAGCTGCAGGAAATGGTGGTGATGGGAACCTGTTTCCTGCTGGCTGTGGCTGTGGCTGCAATAGCTGCTGTTGTAACTGAGCTAGTGCAAGTGCAATCTGTTGTTGCTGTTGATATAGTTGCTGGGAATTGTGTGGACTGTGTTTCTGATTAAGCTGCTGCTGAGCAAGTCCTTGCTGAACCAACCTTAGTCGTGCCATTTGTTGAAACAAAGCAAACTGCTGTGGAGTCACAGGAGGCTGAAGCAACCCTCCCTGAGCCATACGTAGTTGAAGATGATATTGCTGCATTAACTGTTGCTGTAGCAAAGGATGTGAGATGGGTGTGCGTAGAGGGGTGGGTACACCCGGAGTTGGTGGCTGCATGAGGGCAGGACCACCCCTCTTCGGATTTGTTCCAGTCAATCCTGGGGTTCCTAAAGGTTTAGAAGATGGCGGCTGATTGGATAGATCTGAAGCAGTTCTTGTCTTGTCATTTGGTTGCTGAGAGGGGGTGGGTGTGGTTTGCTGTGACTCGCTTGCTACAATTTTATTAGTTGTATCTGGCACGTCTTGCGTAAATGTCTCTGTGGTCGTTTTACAAGCGTTCTCATTTGGCAGCTCTTCATCTTGTTTTTCTAGCTTGCTTTGTTGACCTGTAGTGTTCTGTTGCTGCTGCTGCTGTTGTTGCTGCTGCTGTTGCTGCTGTGTCTTACGCCTTTGCTTTCTATTCTGTTTTGCTGGTGGTTGTTGTGATTCAGAACTATTTGATGTGCTTGGTTCAGCTGAAGTATTTGATGTAGAACTAGATACAGTCTGTGATTGCTCTGTAGTGCTTGCTGCCATAGACAATAAATCACCTGGAGAGATAAATACATAGTCTTTAAAGATGAAAAAATTAAGTATCAAAAATTACTCTCTTTTTCCGAGGGTGCAATTAATATGGAGCTCAGCTTTTTTTGTACTAACCCCTTCCATGACAACTTAGGCCCCACTTCTCATATAAATGTAATTGATTAAGTTAAATGAAAAACGTCTTACACCACATTCAACAATAGAAGAGACAACTAGCTAAAAACTAGTGTGAGCTGCAATAGAGTCAAACTTCAATTACATAGCAACCTTTGAGGAATTGCCAATTGGCCATAAATTGAGTTTCTTCATTTAATAGAGATAAGAGTATTCAGGGATGACTTAGACTGGGGGATCCACACTTTTTTTCTGAGGAGAAATATTTTTTGGTAGCCCTTTTTAAAACTATCTTTTTCGTCAAAACATTTTTTTTCTTTTCTGAGATGAGACTAAATGTTTACGGCGGTGTGGATGTGGTGATATAGAGGTTTTGATATACAGCTTGGGCTGCCTGTTATTCGATGGCAAAGCAATAAAACCCCTTTGCTCTTGGGAAATTGAAATCCTTCTCATGTAAAACGATTGTATCCTGCCATCTAACATGGCTGCTGTCTCGTGGTAGTGCAAGCCTCTATTTAGCACCACCAGCCACACACACTTCATAAACTTCTCCACTGTATCTGGTATTATATGCCCAAGCACAAAGAAGTGTACATGATCAAGACTCACCTATTGCACTTTCAATGTTCATGTGATTGGCTCTCAGAGCTTTGTCTGCATCTTCTTGCTGTTACATGGAAATAAAAGTTTGGTGAAGTAATCAGTTTTGTATCATAATTAACAATTATTTGCCGAAGTGAATATCAGGGAATATTTACCGAGCCGCAAGTCTTCAAGCTGCAAGGTAAATATTACCTGGTACTTACTGAGCCTGAGGCGAATGGCTGCTTTATTATTTTTAACACCATTGCATATAATAAATAATGGAGAGAGAGTTTTTCAAATGTTATTTATCTCTGCRAACAGCACAAATCAACAAACGGGCATGAGCTTGCATACTATATTTCCCTGTAGGTGAATATAGCAGCATAAGACGTAAATTGTGACCAACGAGTGTGCCCTATTTGTTATATTAACTGATGGTGGTGGTTATGAAGATGGGGATGTTGAAGATAAAGATGTTGAAGATGAAGATGGTGATGACGATGCTGATAATATGGTGAAGATGGTAATGAAGTTGCAGATAACAATGATGAAGATGGAGATGACAATGATGAAGATGGAGATGAAAATGATGAAGATGGAGATGACAATGATGAAGATGGAGATGACAATGATGAAGATGGAAATGACAATGAAGAAGATGGAGAGGACAATGATGAAGATGGAGATGACAATGAAGAAGATGGAGAGGACAATGATTATGAGCAAGAGAAGGGTGATAAAGTGGTGATACTTCTATACAGCTAGAAACAGTCTGTTACACTAACCTTAAAACCCATGTCTAGAAGTTGTTTTAGTGATCGGCTCATCCAAGCATTACTTGCATTACTTTCAGTTGTACTTTGTACAGGTTTAGGAGCCTAGAGAATAAAATGATATTTAAGGACTGTTCTATATTTGAATTCTTTTTGTTCAGTCGACAGGTATACAGACAGTGCTTTTCCTTTGGTCTCAATATTCATTCATTCAATTTGTTATCATTCAAAGAAAGTAGTAAGTTTATTTACAATGAAAAGTGAAAAAAAATTATCATTGTTATTATTATTATTATTATCATTATTATTATCCTTATCACTATTGTTATTAATCAGTTCACAATACGCCGACTGGCTGATTGCTAACTGACTGCATGACTGACTGGCTAAAGAACTAGCTGGCTGGCTGATTGACTGACTGACTGACTGACTGACTGATTGACTGACTGACTATATCATGCTAGTGTTTACTAGCCATTATCTACTGACTATATCACCGACTATTCAACAGACAAACTACTGACTGACTGCATAATGGACTGACCAACTAATTGACTGACAGACACTGACTGACAAACCGACAGACCAACTACTTACTGACGGACTGACTGACCATTTGACTGACTGACCGGTGGACTGACTTGACTGACTGACAGCATGGTGGACTGACTGACAGCATGGTGGACTGACTGACTGACTTACTGTCCAACAGACCAACTCCTTACTACACAGCTGACTGACTACTGACTGTCTGACAGACTGGTTTACCAACCGACTGATCAGTTAAGTGATTGATATAAAACCTTTTCCACTTACTCTATTCCGTTTAGAAGATGCTGTTGTCCAGCCATCCCAAGCACCATCACCATTCTCCTCATCTTCCTTGCTTACATTACCTTGATTCCATTCAGTACCATCATCCAACCATCCTGATCCAGATCTTTCCTGATTAACCTTCTTTTCCTTTGCTTCCGTACCTTTTCTAGTTGTACCTAAAGCAGTATCCCAACATGCAGTTCCAGTAATGTCGGGTGTTTTCGCACCCCAACTGGGTTTCGGACCAGCATCATCCCATCCTGAAGTTTCAGATTTTGTTKTAACTTTGTCCGCAGATGAATCAACAGTTTGCTTATTTGCAAAAGACGTTTGAGGTTGAGAGTTACTAGAAGAGTTTGTTGTGGAGTAAGCATCAGATTTGTTCATGTTTTTTAACTGCTCAGATTTTTCAACCCATGCCGAGCTAGAATCTGCTGGGGTACCACCCCAAGTGCTAACAGCAGGTGACTTGTTCAACATGTTATTAGGGGTTTTAGTTTTCGGTGCTTTACCTGGAGTTTTGTTCCAAGAGTTTGAGTCTATGGATGGTGCAGGGTGCGCTTCATTAGCCCATCCCTGCTTTACAGTACTAGAAGAAGTGTCAGTCTTTGAATTTATAGCTGCAGGATCCCAGCCTAGTGGAGTGCCTATCAGCCCTCCAAGGCCTCCTGTACCCATTCCACCCCAGCCAACACTCCCTGCTCCCCCAGACCCCACCACACCCAGTTTAGAGTCTGCTGCATCTAGTGCTCGATCTAAGGAATCATCACAAACCGCATCCCACGATTCATTGGTTAACACCGTATTTCCAGTCCAGTCTGGTGCCTTCGTAGTAGAAGACTGTTGAGAAGTCAAACTATTTGTAAACATGTTTCTAGGCTTGGAGTTCAATGGTAAAGACACAGAAATATTGTCAAGAGTTCCTGAAGTACTAGTTGAAGATTGTTTAGTCCCTAAGTCAGAACTAGTAGAGTCTCCTGAAGATTTATCCCCGACAGCAGGCCATGCTTCTCCATCAGTCTTGTCAACAACTTGTTGCCAATTTCCATCCTTTCCGCCCCATTCTCTATCGACGGCACCCCATTTTTCAGTGTCTTGATCCCAATTTTCTGTGGGTGTTGGCCAGCCACTTCCTTTGGATTGTCCCTTGGGCCATCCACTGTCGTCAACTTCATTGATTAACCCTGCGTACTCTTTAGAAGAAAATCTATTGGGGTCTTTTTTCTTGCCAACTGAAATGTCCAAAGGAGAAAAGCATTGAGTGCGTCATTATCACTGTTATTATTTAATAAATATAAACTGACTGAATTAATTATTATAGAGGATTAAGATTTTTAATTCAGTCAAAAATCTCCCTTAAGCTAATATTTTTAAATTTCAGTTTTTTAGCCTGTGTCCTATCCGGACTTTTTCTCTGTTAAGTCCGGATGTGACGAAGGCTACAGTTTTTTTGATTGATGGTGGTCAAAATGAAGTGAAGTCTTTATTTCAAGAGGGTAACACCTAAAAGTGAATCACTTTAAACTTGTGGCCCTCAAATATAAAATACCAACAAAATCTAAAAATCCTATATAAATATATAAATATTATCCAACTAGATACTTAAAAGATATATATATATATAATGCTATATTTATAAAAGTTGTATTTTCCACTGGCTGAGGAACGAAATAAGTGGAAAATGTTTTCACACACCACTGGAGCCTGGGCTGAGGGATATTAGTCACGTGGTCAGTGTTTTCATCAGTGGTTTTTCACTGTCCGCCATGACTGTTTAGTTAGCCCCACAGTACCCCCCCCCCCC